TGTATTTCTGCATCCGATACGCGATTCACAAAAAATATCGGCAGATATCCACATGTGTGGATGCAGATATACGCAGATATCTGCGGATTTGCAGTGCTGTACTTACCATGGCCAGGCTGAGGCTCTGAGGCACCCCTCTGCCTGAGCCTGGTCAGAGAGAGCTGTTCGGGAGTCTCAGACCCTCCACCTTCCCTCGGGAACACGGCCTGGGGCTGCTCTCAGCCCCCTCCCCACCCCACGGGCAGGTGGAGGGTCCACCATGGTCCCCAGCTGGACTCCACGCTGGCCGTGATGGAGAAGGAGGGGAGGGTGACCTGTTTAACTGCCGGGGGCTACTCGGGCCCCCCACACCAGGCAGGTGGAGCTCTTACCATGGAACCCAGGCTCCCTACAGCAGCCAGCACAGCTCTCTGGCTACCACGGGGGCCTGCTCGGCCTGCAGCCCAGCCATGGTAAGAGCTGGGTGGGCAGCTGCGGGGAGCCGCAGTAGACCATCCGCCTGCTCTGGATGGAGGGCCAGAACAGCCCCCGGCCCAAGTCCCTGTCCCCCGGAACCTCTGTCCAGCTCAAGTAAAGGGTCCGCACTGTGGCTCCTCACAGCTGCCTGCCCGGTTCTTACCCGTCAGAGCCCTGCACGCATACAAAATTTTTATCCGCATCTGCGCTGCTATCCGCAAAAATGTTCCACGGATATCCACGGATATAAAGTGGATACCTGACGATTTGCAGGCTCTACACATAATGTATGTTCCTTTTGTTGATTTCATGTTATTCTGTATGTAAATGGAGTGTCCAGATGCCTTGAAGAGCTTTGAAAATAACACTCAACTGCAAGTGAAAAGCATCTATACAGACCTTATTCCTAATGGTGAGTAAATTTCTCCATTTACTTAGAGCCACTCTAAATGTCAGCCAACAAATAAAGAAATAAATCCAAATCCCTTCTGAATAAATGGTTTAATCAGTATTAATGTTTTCCATGAGAAAATGTTGATGTTGATGTCAGTTTTCAATTTTCCATTCGATTGCATATGAACTCTTCTGAATCAAAATTAGGGGTTTTGCTATTTCAACTTTTCATATCAATTCAGGGTGAAAACTAATATTGGAATATTGGAATTTCACATTTTCGAGCCAGCTCTGCATTTAGTGCAATGGTCATGCTGAGGAAAGTACTCACAAATGTCAAGATAGGTTCCCCAAAGTAGCTCTTAAGGGAGGCAGAAGAATTCCCACCTCTTACCCAGGTCTCCCTATTTAGATAAAACCATTCCCTTTTGTTTTAAATTGTTCTGTGTAGTGCACTCTTGGTTGTTGGATTTAATTTTCTCTATTTCATTCCCTTTGAATGTGTGTGAGTGTCTGTGTGTGTGTGTGTGTGTGTTCAATTTCCAGGAGAATGGTTCTGTGGTTATGGGAGAGTTTCACGTATCAGGAATGCTGACTTGCTGTGTAAACCCAGTCTCTTCACCCCGATCATGTCACCTATCATTCCCAGTTTCCCCCTTAGTAGCTCACCATTATTTGACGCATTGCTTTGAGAGCCACATATTGAAGGTGCTAAGAATATGCAAAATATGGTATTTTTATTGCTCATTTTTGTTTCAACTCTGTCATTTCACTTTCATACCCATTATTAGGAAGTTCTTTTTCAACAAGTAACCTTGAAGTAGAACATCTGTGGAAACTATCTCTTCTAAAGTAGGATCTTCCTTCTTGTAAAATTCTATAGCAAGGTCATAAGACAAAGATCCTCAACTGGTGTAAATCAGCATAGATCTTTTTATACCCATGGAGCTGTTAAGATTTACGTCAGCAAAGGACCTGGCCCTAGGTCTTCTTTTGTATATTGAGAGAAACCAATGCATTACAAATGTTGTGATGATAATGGCAGGAATGATTTAAGTTGTTCTCTAATATTTAAGGAAGAATAACTTTTAATAGTACACAAAAGGCCAAAATCCCCCATTGTTTTCACCATTTATTGTGCTTCTCACTCAGTAACACTCTCAGAGGGGAAAGAAAGAAAGAAAGAAAGAAAGAAAGAAAGAAAGAAAGAAAGAAAGAAAGAAAGAGAAACATTGATCCCTTTTTGAATTTTTATGTAGACAGAAAAAAATGTGTTTGAAGAGGAAAATGATGATGCTGGAAAGTGGTATACCTCCATTGCTGGTGTAAACTGATGTAGCTCCTTTAGAGTCAATTTATCAGATCCCTGTCTGCTATAAAACAGCTGTATTTCCACCATTATGAAAGTGATCAGATCTCCAGCTGATCTATATTGGCATAGCTTGATTGACATCAATGTGCCTACATCAGTTTATGCTTGAGGATTGGGCCCAGTTACATATTTCTATACAGAATTGCAGCAGGTTTTAGTCTGAAGCATCCCAACAGAAGGGAAACCAGTATGAATTATTTGATTCACACCCACAGGTTTATTCCTCAGATTCAGTATCTTTCTTTGTCACCCCTACAGATGATCTATTCTGAGAGTGACCCTGGAGAGAATCAGACCATCTCCGATGTATTCATCCTGGTGGGGTTTTCAAACCTTAACAAGCTGCAGATCCTTCTGTTTCTGGTGCTTCTGGTCACCTACTTGGTCGCCCTCATGGGGAACCTCCTTGTTATCCTCCTTATAAAGCTAAACCCCTCACTCCACACCCCCATGTATTTCTTCCTGGTGAACCTGTCTTTCCTGGATATCTGCTACACCAGCAGTGTGGTCCCTCAGCTGGTGGTTCACCTCTTGGTGGAGCAAAAGACCATTAACATTGCAGGCTGTGCTGCCCAGATGTACATCATCATCATCATGGGCCTGATGGAATGCTGCCTCCAAGCAGCCATGGCGTATGACCGCTATGTGGCCATATGTCACCCCCTGCACTACAGAACTATCATGAGTGGCTGGGCGTGTGCACAGCTCGCAGGTGCTTCATGGACCATCGACATCTCTGTGGAAGTAGCTCAGACCACATGGATCTTCAGCCTGCCCTTTTGTGGCTCCAGCCGCATCCACCACTTCTTCTGCAACATCCCAAAAGTGGTGAAGATGGCACGCATGGACACATCCAAAAATAAGATTATGGTCTTGTCTGTGTCAGTTTTGTTCATCATGGGCCCTTTTTTGTTGATAACCCTGTCAGGGTTCCCTCCCCACTCTGAACTGTAGGGTACAGACGTGGGGACCCACATGAAAGACCCCCTAAGCTTATTCTTATTCCATTCCAGAGACGTTGCCATTTTGTAAGATCCAGGCTGGGTTGTGTTCTCCCACTGTGGGGTCACTGTGGGGTCAGAGTATATTGTCAGGGTGGTTTGTTCACAGGTGAGATCATAGTTGGGCTCAGAATGCTGGAGACCTGATTCAACTATTTAGCCCCAAAGGAGGTGCTTACTGGGCTGTAGTCATGTCAAGCTGTAGAGCTGGGAGGGGCTTCCAGTCCCTGATCCCATTTAATCATTTGCCTCTCAGCCAAGCCTGCCCCAGGAGTGGAGCAGAAAGTGCCCATCTTGGAATGTATCCCTGTCTTCTTGGAACTGCAGAGAGCCCCAGCAACTCAGAAATCCAGTGATGGAACATGAAAATTGGTGCTGGATAATGCAGTGATGAGTTCATGAGAGAGATAAAGAGATTGTTGTGCATGGAAATATTTTGATAGATAATGGCCAATAATTTTGAGCACTGCAGGATCAAATGCTTTGCAAGTTGGGAAGAACTATCCAAAGATGAACACAGTAAGTTTACTACTGTCTTTTTTTCTTTATTAGAAAATGTTCTCTTTTCATAGAAGTCCTCGAAATTTCCAAACATTGAGATATTTGCAACAGAGAACCAATCGTTTCCTGCTGCAAGCTGAAAAATTCCAACCAAAAGAATCCCCCTCCCCAAAGGAAAAAAAACCCAACTTTTAGATAGATAGATAGATAGATAGATAGATAGATAAAGTCTTTCCATGAAAATTTGTTTAACTGAAAACACAAATTTTCTTTAAAAAGAGTTAAAGAGAGAACATTATTGACCAGGATGGGAAGCACTAATATTGTCCAATGATACCATAATTTCAAACGCTGTCATTCTGTTACATCCATTTTTATTTCTACTTCAAAGACAAAGCTGCAGGGTGGCAGAACAGAGTGAACAGCGGAGCTGACAGTCCAGGGAGTATGGGCTATACCTAATAGACATGCTAGAACCTTGAAACTCAGAGTCTGGGTTCAATCAAGCAGCCTGTTTATGTGGACCTTGCCCAAGGACATTAAGGGCATATCTACACCACAGCTGGGAGCATGCTTCCAAACTCAGGTAGGCAGACTTCACTAGCTGTGCCAGGGTTCCTTCCCCACTCTGAACTCTGGGGTACAGATGTGGGGACCCTCATGAAAGACCCCCTAAACTTATTCTTACCAGCTTAGGTTAAAACTTCCCCAAGGCACAGATTCCTTTCTTGCCGTGGGATCGCTGCCACCACCTAGTGATTTAACAATCAGGGAAAGGACCACTTGGAGTCCTATTCCCCCCAAAAATTCCCCCAAGCCTACACCCCCTTTCCTGGGGAAGGCTTGAGCATATATCCTCATCAATAGGTTACAAAGGGACTACAGACCCAAACCCCTGGGTCTTAGAACAATGGAAAAATCAGTCAGGTTCTTAAAAAGAGAAAAAGGTAAAAGAATCGCCTCTGTAAACTTAGGCTGGTAGTTAACCTTACAGAGTAGCAGAAAATTCAAAGAGCACAGAGGAACCCCCTCTAGCCTTAGTTTCAAAGTTACAACAAAACAGGGATAAACTTCCCTCTAGCAAAGGGAAAATTCACAAGTTGAGAAAACAAAGGTAAACTAATACGCCTTGCCTGGCTGCTACTTACAAGTTTGAAATATGAGAGACTTGTTCAGAAAGATTTGGAGAACATGGTCTGATATCCGGTTCCTCTTAGTCCCAAGAGCGAACAGCCACAGAAACAAAGAACCCAGAACAAAACCTCTCCCCCCAACCAGATTTGAAAGTATCTGTTGTCCCCATTGGCTCCTTTGGTCAGGTGCCAATCAGGTTACTTGAGCTTCTTAACCCCTTACAGGTAAGGAGGAATTTACGCTTTCCCTATGGTTATGACAAAGCCTATCCTACATGTGCATTATCTCCACCATCCTCAAGCTGCAGTCAGAGGAGGGAAGGCATAAATCCTTCTCCACCTACTCCTCCCACCTTATGGTGGTGACTTTGTTCTTTGGAATGACCCTTTTCGCCTACCTGAGGCCCAAGTCTATCTCCACCCCAGAGAGTGATCAAATGATTTCCCTTGTGATCACAGTTGCGGCACCTGTGTTGAACCCCACAATATACAGTCTGAGGAACAAAGAGGTGAAGGGAGCCTTCAGGAATACAGTAAAGAAGAGCATCTTTTCACACAACTGAAGAAAACATAGAATGAAAAGTAGAGTTAATTAAAACAGGGAGAATGGGGGAAATTCATAAATGTTTTGTTGAATTGCTCCCGATGACCTGCACTTTTTTAATTGAAATTTTGCCATTTGAAAAACTTTGACTTCTAAACCTATCAGAAGAATGGGAAGAGAAACTTTTATTACCAAAAAACCCAAAAATTTAAATATCTTCAAAATTTGGAATGTGAAAGAAAAAAAGCTTAAAATGAAAACCCTTTCATAAAATGTTCACCTTGGTTTTTGCAAATTTAACAATTTTCACCAAAATTGTAATGATGGAAAAATTCCAACCAGCTCTGTAGATAACTCCATTCAGGCTTCTCCTTTTCCTGCTTTGTCAGTTCATTGCAGCATTTTAGGTTTTAGGTTGGGTTGGACTGGGTTTTTTTGGCTGTGTAATGGATTTCCCCAGTGCTCCCTGTTGCCTAATTTTAAATAATATTTCTCAGCACTTATGCAGTTTCCTGTGTAAGACTCTGATGGATCTTTCAATGCCTAACTTGATCAGGTCACACAACAACTCTGGAAGCTCTCTCTTGACTTCCATGGCATTCTGCACAGGTTCAGAACTCTATTCTAACAGACTATGTATATCTTAGATTCATTGATTAAAAGGCCATAAGGGACCATTTTGATCATCTAGTCTGACATTCTGCTTAACACACGGCAGAGAGTTTCACCTGGTGATTCCTGAGTCAGAGGAATTTTATATTACATATGTAAAATAATAGTTGTGTGATAAACTCATAAACTACAAGTGGTTCGATCAATGTATAATAATATTGCACCAAATGCTAGTGTACATGGTACCTCCTAGTATAACTATATGATAAAAATTCCTTTCTACATTTTTATGATGAGAGATTCTATTCTGTTTGCTTCTCTACCTATATCTCTGCAGCTGTATAATAAATACCAAATTAAAAACCTCTATACCTTGTTCAGCATTTACATGACTATATGTCTTCTTTCACTAAACATCCCTATAATGCATTCATCGGAAGCTTAAAATACATTGAGACTCTGAGATGCACTGGCTGGCAGTATGTGATGGTTTTTGTTATATCTCTTTGATATAATTTGCTGATTTGTTTTAAATGATATTGTTGGCAAGATAAATAACCTGTCGTGTTGGAAGATGTAACTAAGAGGTATGAACATGTAATGATAAACAAAAGAAAAATCCCTTTCTCTGGGAATCTTAGAAGCAGAGTGGCCCAGGGCAACATGACCCAGAAACTACAAATTCAGCAAGAAAATTGTAGACATTCGATGATTAACATTTGTGGATAAGTAATGCACAGGTTATGTAAAATTCAATGGACAATGTGTTGACTAAAGAATGGAGGAAAATTAAGCAATAGATAATGTGTAAATGTATGAAAATACATACAAAAATACATATAAATATGTGTAAAATACATATGTAAAATACGCAGAATATGTAAAAATACATATGTACATATGTGCATATACAAAATACATATGTATATTTGCAAAATATCTATAAAATACATATGTGAAATACATATAAAATAAGTAAATACATATAAAATGGGCTGGAGAAATGCTGGATCAGAAACCAATGAATGAGGCTGAAGGACCTGAACAGGAGATCCAGGCAAGTGAGGACTGACATCATGAAGGAAGGAAGGATTTCTCAGTGCCCCAGTGTCACAATCCAATGGCCCCCTCCTTCAGAGGGTTCCCGGGGGAGACAGATCAGCATTATATATTGCTAACGTTGACATGCCTTGAGAGGTGCTTTGGGAAGGGCTGAAGGTCTTAGTGTGAAGTGAAAGATTCCTTTGCAGGTTGCGAGAGGCCAAAGGGGAGGAAGGGTAAGTTAACTTGACACTCCAGCTAGGTCCAAAGATAAGAAGCTGAAGGTCACGGACAGACTCTCTGATGCCAAGAAAGCTGGGAGCCTGGATTCCAACCCTGACCAGCCATGAGAAAAGAGAAGTAAACTGAATAGAACTTAGGATTGCAAAGCCTAATGAGAGGGTGAAGGTTAGTGAGTGGAAACATAACATCACGACCCTGAAGCCGGAATGTTTTGGGGACTCTAAAGAAGCTGCAGAAGGCCGGTTCAGACTGGTACAGAGAGCACGGAGAACAAAGGTCCCTGGACAAAATGCCCCCAGAAGAACCCAAGACTTAAAAACCCTCCCGAGAGCTGAACCAAGCCAGAGATCAACAGCAGACCCTAGACAGCCTGTGCACAGGAGAACTCCAGTCTACCCCTCCCCCTCTTCTTCTTAAGTTACACCCAGACTTGGCCAGCTTCGGGCCAGCTTCGGGCCGTGCGTGTGTGAGTATGAAAGTGGGTTAGAAATGGGGCACTAACGCTTCCTTCCTTCCTTCCTCTGAGTGACATGGGAATGGTCCCAGCGCTCACCGCTGTCATTTTATTAATAAAGCTTTAAAATTTAGTCACTTGGTCTGCTCCTCCATCTCCACCCCCATGATCCTGCGGGCCTCAGACTGATCACCTGATGCCTCAGGCAGATTGGTAACATAAATCTGTCACACCAGAATGTGTTAACTTGGGCCCATTCACCTATTCCATCTTGTCTGTTATTTCTTGTGAGGCAGAAATGTATTTCCATACACTATAAGTGAGATTAATTCTGTCTGAAATTGTATTAAATAAAGGAAAAACTGATTAAGCCTAAATTGTGTGGATGTGTGACTTGGTTTCCCACTCTACACACCCAACAATTTACACAATTTGATTAAAAAGATAAATCCCACATAAATGCTCTCATCTCTGCTTTGTTAATTAATTCAGCAAAGGTGTGACCCTCATACAATAATAATCAGAGCAACAAGCCATGGCATGTCAGTGAACACATATGTGTTAAGTTAGTATACACCCCTTTATGTGAATACCTGCCAGTTCTACAAGCTGAATTAGCGTATGTTCTTCCCAGTGTTCTGTGCACTCATGCTAACCTACACCCCACACTACCAAGCAACAGTATAACTTAGTATTTAACATAAGCGGATGGGAAACTTGTCAAAGTCAAGATACATTAGTTCAATAGCTTAGTACAAATTGTGGGGAAACTTCACGGACCAGGACATGGAATGCTGTGTCCAAAAGTAAGATATGGATGGTCAAGGTTCAGACTAACAAGTTAAGGAACAGGGATGAACAGACAGGCTGGATTTCTGTGACATGTAAAGAGTTTTGTAACTTGAGTTACTCCTCGTTGAAATGTATAAATTTGGAAGCCCACCTTCTGTGCAAGATGAATTTAACATGAGACAGCTTCCTGGAGACTGGTATCATATTAAACCTTTTCCCAGTACGATACTATGATTGACTTTTAGCAATAAACCTGACAGTCAAGCAATTGACTGTACAATTTATCAAACATAAGCAGCAGAGTGCTGCAGATGATGGATGACAGGGAACTATCTGTTATACTGTATAACAGCAGTGAGAAAGGAGTGACTAAACCCTGGTCTACACTACGAGGTTAGGTCAACTTTAGCTGTTTTAGGTAGATTTTAAAATGAAAGCGTCTACACAACCAATCCTGCTCCATCGACCTAAAGGGCTCTTAAAATTGACTTCTGTAATCCTCCCTGGTGAGGCAAGTAGAGCTAAAATCAACCTTGCTGGGTCGAATCTGGGGTGATGCAGATGCAAATTGACAGTATTGGCATCGAAGAGCTATCCCAGAGTGCTCCAATGTGACCGCTCTGGGCAGCACTTTCAACTCCGATGCACTAGCCAGGTACACAGGAAAAGCCCTGGGAAATTTTGAATTTCAGTTCCTTTTTGGTCAGCGTGGCGAGCTCAGCAGCACAGGTGACCATGCAGTCCCCCCAGAATCGCAAACGAGCTCCAGCATGGACTGAATAGCAGACACTGGATCTTATTGCTCTATGTGGAGAAGAATCTGTGCAGGCCAAACTCTGATCAAAAAGAAGAAATGTTAATATATATACCAAAATCGCATAGGGCATGTTGGACAGAGGCTACAACAGGGATACACAGCAGTACCGTGTGAAAGTTAAGGAGCTCAGGCAAGCCTACCAAAAGACAAAGAAGGCAAATGGTCGCTCTGGGTCAGAGCCCCAGACATGTCGCTTCTATGATCAGCTGCATGGCATTCTGGGGGGGGGGACCCTACCACTACCCCACCACTGTCCGTGGACACCTGAAACAGGGGAGTCTCACGCAACAGGGAGGAGGATTTTGTGGATGAGGAAGAGGAGGAGAAGGAGGAGGAGGAGAATGCGCAGCTGGCAAGCTGTGAATCCGTTTTCCCCGGCAGCCAGGACCTTTTCATCACCCTGGAGCCAATACCTTCCCAAGACGGGATCCCCAGCCCTGAAGCTGGAGAAGACACCTCTGGTGAGTGCACATTTGTAACTACAGTACAGGGTTTAAAAGCAATAGTGTTTAATGTTTGATTTGCCCTGAAGAATTGGGATGCATTCACAGCCAGTACAGATCTCCTCCAAGGACATCTCCAGAAAGCTCTCCTGGAGGTTCTCTGAAAGCCTTTGCAGAAGGTTACTGGGGAGGGCTGCCTTATTTCATCCTCCATGGTAGGACACTTTACCATGCTAATCCAGTAGCAAATAGTCTGGAATCATTGCAGCACAAAGCATGGCAGCGAATGGTCCTGGGTTTTGGTCGCATTCAACCAACATTCAGTATATATCTTTCTGTGTTAGCCTCAGGAGAGTGATATCATTCATAGTCACCTAGTTGAAATAGGAGAATTTTTGTAAGGGAACAGTAAAAGGACCCCGTTCATGCTGGGCTATTTGCTCTTGGCTAAAAGGGATCATCCCAGAGAATAGCCATGTGATGGGGTTGGGGGAGGTGTCTGCTGCAGATCCACCCGAAAACCGCAGTCCCTTGTTTTAAATGTGAAACCCAACCGGCATTGCTTGCTATGGGAAAGGAGGGCGCTGCACTTTGAAACCATTCCCACATGTTTTGAACGCGTAAGAAGCCAACCCCACATATCAAAAGGCTTACCATGGCTGCCTGGAAATCAAATTCTGTTGCCCAGCCATTTGTGATGTGTCACCATACCGGCAGGCACTCAATATAAAAGGCAAAATGTGATCTTGTACCTAAAGCACATGTGCTGTCTGCTGTGAATTGCTTGATTCACTGTGAAAGAGTCTCCCTTTTGTTCTCAGAAATGTATCATCTTACATTTTACTTTCCCTTTTTATCTCCCCCTAGGTGCAAATGTTTCTGTGCTCCCTCTATCATCTCCGTCCCTGAGGATATCGCAGATTAGAAGGCGAAAAAAATGCACTCGCGATGACATGTTGTCATAAATATAAAGGGAAGGGGTTAAGAAGCTTTGATACAGTACTATAAAATCCTTCTACCTGTAAAAGGTTAAGAAGCTCAAGTAACCTGACCAAAATGACCAATAAGGGGACAAGATACTTTCAAATTTGGGTGGGGGGGGAAGGCTTGTCTGTCTATCTGTGTGATGCCTCCGCTGGGCACAGATCAAGAAAGCAAGCAATCCAAATCCTATAGAGTTAGTAAGTAATCTAGCTAGAAAATGCATTAGATTTTCTTTTCTTTTTGGCTTGTGAAATTTGCCTTGCTGGAGGGAATGTGTATTCCTGTTTTTGTCTCTTTTTGTAACTTAAGGTTTTTTGCCTACAGGGATTCTCTATGTTTTGAATCTGACTGCCTGTGAGATTGTTTTCATTCTAAATTTACAGAGTGGTTTTTTTTTTTTTTTTGTTCTTGAAATAAAGTTCTGTTTTTTAAGAATCTGATTGGGTTTTTAGGGTCTGAAAAACCCAAGGCTGGTCTCCGCTCATCTTGTTTATTCTCAAGTCTCCCCAGGAAAGGGGGTGTAAGGCTTGGGGGGATATTTTGGGGGAAGATGTCTCCAAGTGGTCTCTTCCCTGATTCTTTGTTAAAATCGCTTGGTGGTGGCAGCATACTGAATCCCAGATACAAGGAATTTTGTGTCTTGGGGAAGTTTTAACCTAACCTGGTATAAGCTTATAAGCATAAGCTTAGGGGGTGTTTCATACGGGCCCTCACATCTGTACCCCAGATTTCAGAGTGTTGAAGGAAACCTGACATGGTGGCAATGGTGGGATCATTTTGAAGCAGAGATCATTTTTATAAAAGCACAGACTGAAGAGGTTTTGTTAGCTGAGAGAAGCTGCATAACAAAAGGATGTTTCTGTTAACTGGGAACAGCTGCAGGCAAAGGTATCAAAGGCAAAGATATCAGATTACAGCACAGCGAATTGGGAATTCACAAGCAGGTCTTTTTTTTCCTTTCTAAATTTCGAGTAAGCTAGGTAAGCAGAAGCTAGGATGGCGAAACGCAATATCCAACAGCAACTAGAATTAGCTTAATTTGAAGCTGAAGAGAGACAAAAAGAGCATGACAGACAGATAGCCTTAAAACTCTTGGAGTTGGAAGCAGATGAGAGGAAAGAGGCGAAATGCTTGGAGTTGGAGGTGGAGAAGCAACGCTTGGAGACGGAGTTAGCGCTGAAGCGCTTAGATCTGAAAAAGGCTAAGCTGAATCTACCAGATAACCCTAACAAGAAGACCCAGAATATCCACAGCTACACTCTGAAATGGCACCTCAATGACGGGGAGTGGCTGGAGAGGGGCTTTGACCTGGTCTTGGGGTTTTCCCACTCTTTGGCATACCTCACAAGATCAGACATAGGAAGAAACATCCTTACCCATTCCCTCCCAGTGGAAGGACTTCCCCAAACGGTCTTTGGTTCTGTTCACCCCAGCATGGCCACTAGGATGATTGTGGGCTAAGCTCAAGAGCTTTACCTGGTACTTAGTTGGAACTACCAACTGTCTCTGAGGATGCCAGTCTTCCTGGTCTCCACCAGAAAGAGTTTCCTTGTATAAAAGTCCTCTTTCTACAACAAACCTGGATCGATTAGAAGAGCTGAGAGGCAGTGGGTTGCTCTGTGCCGCTGTCCAAGCTCTCTGGAGGCTTTCATCTGCTTCCTGTTCGATCTGGAACTGTTGCCTTGATGCTGGAGACATCAGTTCCTCATTGGATTGTGGACCTATGCTTGGTCCCTCTGGAAGCGATGTAGGGGATGGGGCTGTTTCCGCTGACTGTGAACCGCTCTCTGCTGGTGCACTATGTTGGGGTTCAAGCTCCAGCTGAGCCTCTTGAGTAGGGTTATCTGCTGCTGCCAGTGCAGGTTCGGTGGGGCCCGCTGGTGTTGAGGTTGCAAGTACTGGATTCAGTGCTGGCAATGGGTCTAGTGCTGGTCTGCTGGTTCTGGTTCTGGGGCTGGCTCTGTCTGGGTCTCTGGGACTGGATCCACTACTGCTGTTGCAGACGTTGGCATGGGGTCCGGATCCATCACCTCTGACCGGGTCCTGGTAGAAGTCTCTAGAACAGAGCTAGGCATGACAGCTTGTTTAGCCTGGCTGCGGGTGACCATTCCCACCCTCTTGGTTGGCCAAGTCTTCCCCCAACAGCATGGGGATGGGATAATCGTCATAGACTGCAAAAGTCCACGTTCCTGACCAGCCCTTGTACTGGACAGGCAACTTGGCTGTAGGCAAGTGAAAAGAGTTTGACTAGAAGTGTTGAATCATCACTTGGAT